TCTATCCTACCTACCTAAGCTGTGCGTAACTGTCTACACAGCCTTTTACTCCCATGTTAGCAGGGCACGTGATGGCTATATGCTACACATTGCTACAAGTGTAGATGTGAACCTCTAGGATATAAATCAAACTGCTTTTCACATGCCAAAATCTCCTGCCTGTGACACTGTATCAAGTATGCTCTGAGTGCTGGATCTGATGTGTAGCCTTACAAGTCATGAGTCGGATTTTCTGCTAAAGTTCCTCATGAGGTCCTGATCCTTGACTTTCCACATGCTCTCCATCTCTGCACAGCTTACGCAGAGCATCCGCCTTCACACTTCCCACGCTATCAACTCCGTGCAAGACATATATTTGATTAGCAGCCACTTCGCTTTTGAAATCTGATAGCCAAGTTATTGCATGCAACTATATATTGGCATGAGTTCCATTTGGATCATTTGAACGGAGGATAGTGTTAGCTTCAGTGACCATTGTGCTGACCTTTATACTGGTAGGACAGTGGTAGTGCCCCTGAGTGCTGTGTTAAACCTGCTGAGCAACAAGTTATAAAACATTGGCTGTTCAAATGATTTGCTTAGCAAGACCATATGCTACGTGCATTGGTCTTTTATACAGTATATTATTTGTGTTCTGAGATCCATCTACACTGAAAGTAATTTTATTTGAAGAGCAATAAGAATTTTGAGACACTGACTTTTATTACACACACACACAGACACAGACACACACACAGATATCATAACTTTGCTGTAAGCAACACAAAGTCTAGGTCTAGGTGAGCTCATACTGGAACAAACATAAGAATGGCGAAAACACATTTCTTGTCCATAAAAGGACTGATCGCACATTCACAGAAGGCAACTCTCATTTTGCTGCAGTTCCCAAGTACAAAGTAGGAAATTCAGTATTGCTGAATGAGTTCTATATACAAGTTTCATTATAACCATGCTGAGATTTTTGTTGGTGCAGGGGTGGGGAATCTCAAGCCTGTGGGTTAGACGTGACCCTGGCTTGCCTGGGTCCAGTTCTCAAGGGTCAGCGCCGCTCCCCTCACCCCGAGCATTGGGGAGCCCTTGCTGGTGCTCTAGCCCCCTTCTGCTGATGTCCCACCGCAGTGCTCAGCACTCAAAAACTACTAGGCTAGCGCCCCTCCCCCCCAGGCTCTGGTGTGGGAGGGGAATGTGAGAAGTGTCTTTCTCCTTCTCAGTCAGGGGCCACGTCAGTGAGACTTGGTTTGTTTTTTTTCCCACTTGCAGGCCCGGCCCTAGGACAAAGTGAGCAAAGCAAATGTCTTGGGCCTTGCACTTTTGGGGCCCCGCACTACTGAGTATTCACTATCCACCTGGGGCCTCGCTCCTTGCATCCTGCTTTGAGCCCCGCAAACCCTTTGGCCAGGCCTGTCCATTTGTGTGCGAACCCCAAATGATTTTTCTGTGGGTTAGTGGTCCCTGATCCAAAAAGGGTTCCCTACCCCAGCAAGTGGTTCTTGCTGGGTGTTTTCCCACTTTAACCCTGTTTCAAAATTTGCCAGTGACACTCATTTGTACAGTTATAAAGTTAATTCAAAATAAAACAATCACTCAGTTCAAACAATGTGATACTGACACTATAGAACTTGTATTTAGTTTAGACACTCTGGCTGCGTCTAGACTGGCAAGTTTTTCCGCAAAAGCAGCTGCTTTTGCAGAAAAACTTGCCAGCTGTCTACACTGGCAGCTTGAATTTGCGCAAGAGCACTAACGATCTCATGTAAGATTGTCAGTATACTTGCGCAAATACTATGCTGCTCCCATTCGGGAAAAAGCCCTCTTGCGGAAATGTATTTGCACAAGAGGGCCAGTGTAGACAGCTAAAAACTGTTTTGCGCAAAAAAGCCCCGATGGCGAAAATGGCGATCGGGGCTTTCTTGCACAAAACCGCGTCTAGATTGGCACGAACGCTGTTCCGCAAAAAGTGCTTTTGCGCAAAAGCATCCGTGCCAATCTAGACGCTCTCTTCCGCAAATACTTTGGCGGAAAAACTTTTCCATTAAAAGCATTTGCAGAAAATCATGCCAGTCTAGACGTAGCCTCTGGTTAAATCCCCTAGACCCAAGAAGAGCTCAGTGAAGCTGCAAAGCTTGTCCCTTCCACCAACAGAAGTTGGCCCAATACAATTTATGACCTCACCTATCTTGTCACAAGTAATATTTGGTATGCATTGCAAGTGTAAGGTAATGGATAGAAGAAAGTGCTTTCTAAGGTAATTGTAGGTACAACAAACTTAGAAATACTGCCTGCAAACACTGCAGTGTTCTGGGTAATTACTAGAAAATACTGTCATTATTGATTGCTTTGAATTATTTATATAAACACTGAATATTATTAGAATATTAATTTTCAGCAAAATTGGACTTCTGAAGTTACAGAGCACACTCAAACTATGGAACTCCTTGCCAGAGGATGTTGAAGACTAGAACTTTAACAGGGTTCAAAAAAAAAGCTAGATAGATTCATGGAGGTTAGGTTCATCAATGGCTATTAGCCAGAATAGGTAGGAATGGTGTCCCTAGCCTCTGTTTGTCTAGACATGGATGACAGGAGAAAGAATACGTGAGCATTACCTGTTATGTTCCCTCCCTCTGGGGCATCTGGCATTGGCCACTGTCAGCAGACAGGATACTGGGCTAGATGAAACTGTGGTCTGACCAAGTATGGTCATTCTTATGTAAGATTTAAAGCAATGGGAACCTAGCATTTATGATGGTTGTAGAGTTCTGTTCTAGTTCTAGCCTTCACAGCCTCCTGCAGCAAGGAGTTCCACAGGTTGACTCTTTGCTTTGTGAAGAACAACTTTCTGTTACTACTTTGAAGCCTGCTACCCATTCCTTTCCTTTGGTGTCCTCTAGTCCTTCTATTATGGGAACTAATGAAGAACTTTTCTTGATGCACCCTCTCCACCCCACTCATGCTTTTATAGACCTCTATCCTATCCCCCCAGTCTCCTCTTTTCTAAACTGAAAAGTCCCAGTCTCTTTAGCCTCTCTTAATATGGGACCTGTTCCAAACCTCTGATCATTGTAGTTGCCCTCCCCTCTCCCACCCTCTCTCTTCCCCTCTCCCACCTTCTTTTCCCAGTCTCCCCGAGTTTTGTTCAATAAAGAGAGATTCTATTTTTGAACACAATTGTCCTTTATTTGGTACATCAGGAAGGGGGGCTAGGGAGGGGTAAGTGGAAGGAGGTGAGGGAGGAATGGGGAGGACTGGGCTGGCTCTGCAGGCTTCTGGGGGTGGAAGCTCTCCCAGATGGCAGCCTGCGGCAAGTGCAGCTGGGCTGATGGCCGAGTGGTGTGATGTGCCCAGTGTGGGTAGTCCGGGCAATCCAAGCCAGGACTGCTTTGCAAGCGGGGCACCCCTGAGAACTGTCTGTCTGGGGTGGGGGTCGGGACCCTTTAAGCACAGCCCTCGGCTAGCCTGAGACAGCATCTCCACACTCTAAGTCCTCCTCTGATGCCCTGCCGGCACTGCTTCCGGCCATCCTTAACCCCAGTTCAGGGTCCACTTAATATGGACATGCTAGTTTGAATTAGCAAAACACTAATTCGAACTAGTTTTTTAGTCTGGATCCGTTCGTTCGAATAAGCTTAGTTCGAATTAACTAATTCGAACTAAGTTAGTTCGAATTAGCACTGTAGTGTAGACATACCCCCAAGATACTGATTTGATTTTGCCCTTGCTCAAGTTCAGTCTTCTCTCCCCTTTTATCTGTGCTATTACAGACCATGCTCCACCTACTTTATGACTTGTCTTCCAGGTCTCCATGTTTTTTGCTTACCTGTCACATGGTGCTAACCCCTCTCTGCAGAGATTCCCAAAGCTCAGGGTTAGGGTGCCATGAAGGGGAGAGGGTAGTGCAATGGCAGGAAGGGGAAGGGCTTGGAAGCTGGTAATGGATAGCTTACCTGCCCCCAGGTTGCTGGAAATCCCATCCCAGATTGTGCAGTCCCTTTGCTGGGACTGGCCCAAGGAGTTTGGCCCTAGAATCAGCCTCTGATCAGTTTCAGCAGCAGCTGACTTGGGGATTCCTGGGGTTCTTAAGTTGAATCTGTATGTAAGTCAGAACTGGCATCCAGATTCAGCCTGTTGAAACTGATCAGCAGCTGATTCCAGGAAGCCCGGGGCAGAGCAACTCTGCCTCGGGCTTCCTGTAGTCAGCCACTGGTCAGTTTCAGCAGCAGCTGAATCTGGACGCCAGTTCCGACTTACATACAGATTCAACTTAAGAACAAACCTACAGTCCCTATCTTGAATGTAACCCCGGGACTGCCTGTACAGAGAGAGAGAGAATGAATTTCCTAAAGGGTCCCCATCGCCATTCAAATTTTCCAAAGAGGTCTGCAGCTACATTTGAAACACATAGGGAGTCTGCAAATTAAAAAAAAACAAACAAACAAAACAAAAAACCCCCACAAGATTGAGTATCAATGCTCTACCCTGCCCCACAGTGTAGGCTATGGAGGATATGAACAGCAGTGTTTGGAAGCTCCTCTGTTTGGAAGCTGAAGGCGTGAAGCAATGCGGCCTTGTTTGAAGAAGACCGCATAAGTGCCAACTATAAATCTTTTGATTCACACCTGTGACGCCCATGCAGGCATGGAAGAGAGTTATAGTACAGCACTTTGGTGCACACTGCCCTCACCATCCTAACTGTGGGGCAGTGTAGATATGCTTTATTCTCATATCAGCCTTACTCTCCCCATAAAGACTAAAAAATAAAATCAAGCTGCCTAAAGAATGAATGAAATGTAGCTGGAACTAATAATAATAAAGGGTCACACATATTATTTCATGAAAGGTAATTTTTATATGTTACAAGGTTTTCCAAGTAAACACATCATCTAATATGATCTACACAGTCTAACATTGGTAGAATATGTTAAAAAAAAATCAGGACTATCCTACTGCATCCAGCAATTCTTATTTCACTGGCTCTAAGTTAAATCTGTGTTTCTTTTCAGATCTTACAGGTGAACAAGGTGATGTCCATCTTGTTTTATATGATATTTCTTGCTTATCTTCGTGGCATCCAATCTACCAACATGGATCAAAGGAGTTTGCCAGAAGATTCAATAAATTCTCTCATCATTAAACTCATTCAGGCAGACATTTTGAAAAACAAGCTCTCCAAGCAGATGGTAGATATTAAGGAAAACTATCAAAACACAATGCAGAAAGCAGAGGCTCAGCAGGACATTGAAAATGTGAAATCAGACTTCCAGCCCGTTATCTCAATGGATACAGAACTTTTAAGGCAACAGAAACGCTACAATTCTCCCCGCGTCCTTTTGAGTGACAACACCCCATTGGAACCTCCACCTTTGTATCTTATGGATGATTATATTGGGAATTCTGTAATGGTGAACAGAACCTCCAGAAGGAAAAGGTACGCAGAACATAAGAGCCACCGAGGGGAATATTCTGTATGTGACAGTGAAAGTTTATGGGTCACGGACAAATCATCTGCTATCGACATTAGAGGACACCAGGTCACTGTACTAGGAGAAATTAAAACAGGCAACTCTCCTGTCAAACAATATTTTTATGAAACGAGGTGTAAAGAAGCCAAACCAGTAAAAAATGGCTGCCGTGGCATTGATGATAAACACTGGAACTCCCAGTGCAAAACATCCCAAACCTATGTAAGAGCACTGACTTCAGAAAACAATAAACTGGTAGGCTGGAGATGGATAAGAATAGACACATCCTGTGTGTGTGCATTGTCAAGAAAAATAGGAAGAACATAAGTCTGCATTTCTTTGCTATATAAATTATTACTTTAAATTATATGATATGCATGTAGCATATAAATGTTTATATGGTTTTATATATTATAAGTTGACCTTATTTATTAAACTTCAGCAAACCTACAGTATATAAGCTTTCTCTCTCAATAAATATGAGTAAAAAGGCATGTGCCTCAGCTGTGGGCAGCTGCAGTTTTATTAGAATATGTTTGTGACTCTGCTTATCAGCAGCATACCATAATCTTACTGTAAAATCTGTGTAACATCAGTATTTTTCATTCAGTATTGTCAAGCCAGTGACTGTCATTTAGTAAACTTGTTAAAAATCAGATAAATGTCAAGAGTTGTGTACACATTTCTATCCCCTGCTACATATTTTCATGAGACAAAGTGGATGAGGTAGCATCTTTTATCGGAGCAGCTTTTGTTATTGAAAAAAACCAACAAGCTTTTGAGCTACACAGAACTCCTCTTCAGGCCCAGACCTGAAGTAGAACTCCGTGTACGTCAAAAGCGTTTTCTCTTCACTAAGAAGTTGCTCCAATAAAAGATATTACCTCACCCACCCTGTCTCTCTAATATCCTGGGACCAACACAGCTACAACAACACTGCAAATCACATATATTTCATGTTTAATTAAAAGTGTTAATTCCTCATCACTGAAAGAAAAACAATGTGGCCTACAGCTAACATTAACATTCCAGCCATTGACTAGCTGTAAAATACATTTTCTGTATGTCATGCCAGTTTTGCCACTAGAATTACTGATGCTTTTCCTCTGTTAGCGTTCCAGAACTGCTGCTAATAACCCAGCAATTTTACTTTAGGTTTTTGAAGCACATTTGCTTTGTAACTGGTTTTTAACGCTGCCAATTCTTTTTAGAAGTAAAAGGAAAAAATCTAAAACATTTCTAATAGAACCTTACCAATGCCAAGAAGCAATCTAAGTGGATCATTAATATAATATATAAAAGATGATTACTTTAAACTATACTATTTATTGTGATCAGGTTCCTCCTTTCCAGTCATCTATTAACTCTGCTGCACCATTACATTGTTTCTTTGTGCCTGGGATTATTAAATTAGAAACAAAATCATTGGTATCTTAATACTAACAGAATCCTGGATTTAGAGTTCTAGCAAAGAAGAATACAGTTTTGGGGTGGATGTCAAAACCATTCTTTCATTCAAAACTGTAGTTCTGGTCAGCATCCATTGTTGATTTTTCATGGAGAAAGACATCTGCAGAAATGCTCAACAAACCTGGAATTTTATGGAGGATCACTGGAGACTTACTGTTTTCTGTATGGCATGTGATTAAAAATCAGGTTCTCAAGTAGCCAATAGCTGAAGTGAAACTGCAGTATTATACAGATGAGTTAACATTTACCCCCTCCTCCCCCCAAAAAGAAAGAAATACTGCTAAACACCTTGCACAGACATTTCTAAATTCTGTGCACAAAACATATTTTATTCTTTGCATTATTATGTGGAAGTGACATATATATGGCACTGAGCAAAAACTGCAGCCATTGTAAAATGGAGACACTCCATGAAATCAGTGTAAATAAACCACATTATACCATAGGCCAGACCTTGCTCCATTAAATCATATGGAAATTTAGTCCCTGACATCAATGGGAGCAAGATTAAGCTTCCTATATTAGCTATATCTGGTTGGATCTTAAGAATGACAAAACTGGGGAGACAAAAACCGCCCCTAAATTTGATAGTCCTCACAGGTGGAACAGGCCACCTTCATGTTGCTCTGTGATCACTTTCGTCTTTGCATTCAACGTTCATAAATTTAAAAATAAAGAGCTATGGCACCAAAACAGTAGCTGCCCTGGTGGCTTTGTATTTATACCTTTTCACCACTGGAGAGCCAGATTTAAATCTTCAGCAAGTCACAAGGGAAATGAATTGGGTGGTCTCCCTTATCCCCTATGGAGAGTGTGACATCATTAAAAGCACTGCAGAATGGGGCCAGATCACTCCTGAGGCCAAGGACTGGGATAGCCACAAGCCTGAAGTGTATAGCCAGGTCTATATGAGGTCTATAGCCAGGTCTATATGAGGATGATTGTACACAGAGCCTGATAGCATACCTCCCACTAAACCCCTGATCTTATGAGGTGCAAAAAAATCCCAGGTCCCCAGTCAAGTTGCTCAGTACCCTCAACAGGAGGCATTCAGCACTTTGCAGGATGAAACCCTAACTTAATCTCCCCCTTCTCCCCCCGCCTCCCACCCCAAGCAATACTAATTCCAGAGGTTCTGTACCATGATGATCCATTAATGCCTAGGATATGGTTTATATGGTGGGAAAATCATTGCTTGTCTATATAAACAGTCAATGTACAAGCTGGGATAAAAATCTACAGTCCACTAGCCTGCAAGCATTAAACATCTGTTTAGGCCCTGCTGCCTGCAAACTAAAAGTTCCCCTCTGCACTTTGATCTACTCCCATTTCAAAGTGAGGACAAACTATAGAACTTTTAGTCCACAGTAGCAGGGACCATATCAATGCAGCAGCCTACTGCAAAGTAGATTAACGTGTACAAAATCAGTGCTTCTTGTGCAAATACTTTGACACTCCCGCTCAGGGATAAGCCCTCTTGCACAAGAATACTTGCGCAAGAGGGCCAGTGTAGACAGGCACCTTAATTTTTTGTGCAAGAAAGCCCGATGGCTAAAATGGCCATCGGAGCTTTCTTGCGCAAAAGCGCGTCTATACTGGGCATGGATGCTTTTGTACAAAAGCACTTTTTGCGCAAAAACATCCATGCCAATCTAGACTCTCTTTTGCAGAAATACTTTTAAGGGAAAAACTTTTCCGTTAAAAGTATTGCCGCAAAATCATGCCAGTCTAGACGCAGCCTTTCAGAATAACTATTCCAGAATAGCTTATTCTGAAATAACTGTCCAGTGCAGATGTTAGCCTTAGAGACTAACAAATATATTCTATGACAAGCTTTCGTGGATAAAGCTCACTTTATCAGATGAGTTGAAGTTGTTAGGCACATGGTGATTTCTGTTTTCTTTGTGGTGTCTTTTGCCAGTAAAGCAATAGAGTCTGCTCGCTGTCATACGAATGTCCACAATAATTTCACTGCAGTCAATAAAGACTCAGTAATTTTACTGAAGTCAGATTTTACTCCTGAGTAATTAATATCAGAATCTGGGTCTAAAACCTTTACTTCAGCTCTTTGGAAATCAGGAATCTTAACCCTGGAGAAAATCATTTCCTATTTTCTAATGTAAATCACATCATAAGAACTGGTACTAGGACTCTAACTTCATCATCAATGTATGGAATATTTTACAAGTGGAAGAGGAAAGTTGCACAGAAAATGTAGTACACTGCTGATGATCTGAAATGTATTATATAACCAAGAAACATGGTGCATAACATTATTAGATTGACTGCGTCATTCTATCCCTTAGTACAACATTAAAAAGAAGTGTTACCATTAGGCTTTGATCCAAGTCCTATTAATGTCAATGGAAGAATTCCCACTGATTTCAATGGGACTGGATTGGGCCCTGAGTGAAGGACACTACACATCTTAACAGCGCTTCAGTGTAATTATACGTGTATTTATAAATCCTGTGTGTAAAATTTCCTGTGTGTATTTCACAGCACATAAACATACATACAAAGCCTGTGCTGAATGTGTAGGGTCTGATCTTGTGCTCATTGTAGTCAGGGAGAGTTGTGTCATGTTGACTTCAGTGGTGGTTAGAGGGAGTCCAAAGTTCTCTAGCCATCTTCTTTGTATCAATTGTTTAATGAAATAACAAGCTCAACGGTAATCGGTACATTTGGATCTTTCAAACTCTTCCCCCATTAGACAGCAGAGATAACTGTCAATGTTGTTTCCCCAATATTTTACATTATAAATACATGATGGTGTTGCAAAAATGATTGGCCAATACTCTCGGTTTGCCTAACTATCTGTGTCAAACTGTGTTTTCTCCAAATTTTTCTTGTATTTTTTTACAATCCATTTGGAAATTGTTTTAAAAAAAAAGCGCTCCGCTGAGGTTTTGGGAAACCATCTGCATTTATTTTATCACCTTTGAACATGTGTTCAGGAATGAAGTCTGTGTAGCCAGTTTACTGCTACCTAGAGATTTGTGCTGCTAGACCAGGAAGAAACTTCAACTGGGCTGTACTGTGTGTGCTCTCAAAACCACTCTCTTAATATTCTGTTCAGTGCTTTAGCAATCTGAGTTTCTCACTCAAATATATGTTGTGTATCTTCAGAAAATACACAACAAGAAAAGTTTGGAGTTCCAAAACTGAAGATTTAACGATAATGAACTTGCTTTTCTGACCTGTCAGCAAATGCATTTTCATAGCAAATTGAAATGTACAACCATCCATTTCATTTTAATAGAAACATTGTGGCAAAAAAATCAATGGGATTCTGTGTTCCCCACATTCAGGACGTGTATGTAATTCATCATGCATGTGGCGGGGAGAGAACAGGCCCTGCAGCTTGTGAGAAGTGAAGAGAAGTGTGCTGGGTAAGAGCTGGTTTTTACGTATGGAGGGGTTGTTTTCTGAAATGCTTTGCCTGTATTTGGTTACAGCAGATGGCAAAATGATGAAGCAAGCACAGATGTGATGCACAAAAAAAAAAAGTCAACCAGCACCAGAACTAACAAAACCTTTCTTAGGGGAATCCGTGATACGCTACTGCTGTAGGCGCAACGACTTGTTTCGACCAGATTTCCTAGTTCTGCAAAGAAATTCTCTGTTAAATTATTTACATAAATGTTACCTTTTTTTTTTTGGCCACAGAGGTTCTCTGGATATAGTCAGATTAGCAAATTAAAAATTTCACAATCTTTAAGTTGCTTTGCTATCACTGATAAACTGTTTGTTGAGAAACCCTTCCATGTAAAGCATGAAACCTATGTCTACAATACTACCCTAGTTCGAACTAGGGTGGTTAATGTAGTCATTCGAAGTTGCAAATGAAGCTCGGGATTTAAATATCCCGGGCTTCATTTGCATCTTGCCGGGCGCCACCATTTTTAAATCCCCGTTAGTGCGGACTCCGTGCCCGCGGCTACACGCGGCACGAAGTAAGTAGTTCGAATTAGGCGTTCTAATCCGAACTATCGGTACACCTCGTTCCACAAGGAGTAACGGTAGTTCGAATTAGAAAGCCTAATTTGAACTACCTACTCTGTGCCGTGTGTAGCCGCAGGCACGGAGTCCGCACTAACGGGGATTTAAAAATGGCGGCGCCCGGCAAGATGCAAATGAAGCCCGGGATATTTAAATCCCGGGCTTCATTTGCAACTTCAAATGACTACATTAACCACACTAGTTTGAACTAGGGTGGTAGTGTAGACATACCTGAAGGTTCCAAATTACCTCAAGGGCAAGATCCTCCAATAGGCATGGCCATTTTGAATCACAT